AATGTCACTATGTGGAGGAGAGTTGTTTACGGTGGCAGATCCTTTATGGGACTAAAAAAATGAACCTTTCACGATAAGTTTGGGAGTTGCTCTTTGAACGCAATAAAGTCTGCTGGGCATGTGTGTGAATCATTTCTGTACATGATGGAACTCATAGACCCTTGGAGGATGAGTGTAGAGAACCTCAGAGAGTGATGGCAGGGTTATAGGAATATACAGCAAGACAGCAAGGTAAGAAAATTATCAAAGGAAATCTAGAGAGCTGTGTTGGCGGTCTGAGATCAGGAGGCAGAAACAGGTTCTTCTCTGGGGTCTTGGGCCCTTGTGCTTCTCTGGAGTGTAATTCTTCTTTGTATGTCCCAAGGTACTTATAGGAAATCAACTTTGTTATGTCCTGGGTTGATCACAGTTTCCTGGGACTGTACTCAGAGCTCAGAGTTCATAAAGTTCCTTGTAAATGGGGACTGCTCATTCATTTCCTGACTGCCCAGATCCAAATAATCACATAAAAATATATTAATTTCAACATTGTTTGGCCAATGGTTCATGCATATTTCTAGCTAGCTCTTCTGTCTTAAATTAACCAATTTCTATTAATCTATGTATCACCATGAGGCTGTGGCCTACTGGTAAGGTTTTCCAGCATCTTTCTTCTTTGGCAGCTACCTGGCATCTCCCTGACTCCACCTACTCTCTCTCTATTTCCTGCCTGGCTTTACTCTGCTAACCCATTGGCTGAAACAGTTTCTTTTTAACCAATGGTGATAAAATATATTCACAGCATACAGAGGGAAATCCCACATAAGTTCCCAAAGATACAATCTAGCAGGATAAGGTACAATCTACCAGGATAGAAACCCAATAAAAAATTAAAAAACAAAGAGAAACTGCAAACAGGATACACAAATATAACCGTGGAGAAATGATAGGAACATACTAAATGCCAATGTGTTCAGACATTGTAATACTCAGACTATAAAATTATCACATTAAAAGTACTTGAATGAATAAAAAGGGTGATTAGAAACATAGATAATGAGAAAACTTAAATAAAAATAGTCCTGGTATATTTGACAAAATCATCTATTGGAATTCAAGAGCAGTAGTAAAATGGATTGATCAGGCCTGAGAGCCACCAGTAAAGTGGCCCAGGGGAGAGATGAGAGGTAAGGTCAGGTGACGAAGAGACAGTGGAGATGGTCACAGGTCTTTCAGAAATCCAGGACAGAAGAGCAAGAATTGCAAAACTCAACATCCAGAGAGACAATGGCCAAGAGTTTTCTAGAACTGATAAAAAACTATTACTCCTTACTGGAGAAACTTGAGGTGTGGGGCTGGGAGATAAATACCATCGCAAACATTGAGGCAAACCCTAAAACACCAGTGATGAAAAAAAGACAATAAAATGAGGAGAAAAGTGAAATCATTTACAAAAAAATGACAAAGGACAGGGAGCCAACTTCTTGGGGACAAAAACAAGGGCCAAGGAAAGAACCATTTGGTCAAGTGCTGCTGGGTAATAAAGACCAAGCACTTCCCACCATTGCCCTCCTCTAAAGGAAGAACTGAAATGTGCTCTGACCAAGGGAGAAGGGCTTCCAATGGGTTGATGGAGGAGGCAAAGGCAGCCATCTACAAGTTGGGGGAGAAGAAAATGGGCTTCGGCTGTCTAGTGATGATCTCCATCAGAGGGGAGTTCAGAAAGCAACTGGGCTACAGAGCCAGGGAGCTAGAGGAGTGATGGGCGTTACACCAGTCTGAGGCTGAACTGTTTGGGAGTGAATCATAACAGCAATTAATTTTTAATTTCTATTAACTAATGGACAGATAGTGGTTCTAATAGAATGCATGTATCTGTCCCTGAGTGTTGCATTATTTCCAGACTATCCCATACAGTTTCATGCTTGCGAATCCCATCTCTATTATGGAGAAGGCATCTAAAAAGACATACCATGTGATAAAGACTGCTTAAGGGGAAGAAAGAAAGGCAAGGAAACACAGTAACTTGGGAGCAGAATGACAGGATGGTCAGGAGAAGCCCCTGTGAGAAGCTGACCTTGGAGCAGAGTCTTGCAGAAGTCAGGAGAAAGCTCTCATGACGGGACTCTAGAACATTCTAGTGAAAGAACACCAGAGGGAGCAGCTTGTGGGAGACAGAACAGAGATGCCAAGTGTCCAGGGAATGTCAACAAACCAATGGACTTGGATCCATGACAGCATCACACAGAAATGGACCAAACTCACCAGTTAGGAAACAGATGGACACATTGGATTTGAGTCTCTCATTTATGTGCTGCTCTGAAGCTATCACAGGATGAGGGAAGAGTACAAAAAAAACAAAAGACAGATGAGCGATGGCTCAACCTAAAACAAGGACCGATGAAACCTACCAAAGGCAAATCGAGACAAAACATAAATCGCAAGGCAAACCACATCTCACACTACTAAAGGAAAAATGAAGCCCCGCCCCAATCTTCACCAGAGAATATCTTTGAGGGACATATGCATCAATCACATGTACCTTTGGAAATGAGCAATGGTCCACACAGTTAGCTGGCTGTGGTGAGGTTGTCATTAGACAGTATATGAAATGACTTCAAGGATATTGGTAAGTTTTTAAATATTTTAAGCGGGGTGGTGCACTTGTAGGAATGATATAATATCATGATATGCCTTTCATGTCAAAAATATCCACAGAGGGCTGAGGAGTTGGCTCCGTGGGTGAAAGCACGTCCCAAGGAGACCTGATAGAGCCTGTGGTGGGAAGAAGGAAACAACTCTTGAAAGATTTCCTCTAACCACCATGAGTGCCAGTACACCCCCCCCACACACCACACACACACACACACACACACACACACACACACACATAATTAATTAATGAAAAGTATACACCACATGAAAACAAAAACAAGAGCAAAATCCCTTTAAGTTCTTGCTGGGGATATTGATCACTGGTAGAGTGTTTGCCCAACATGCTTGAAGCCCTGGGTTCAACCAGCTCTCAGATACACACCACACCACACCATTCCACACCCCCCCCCAAACAAAGCAAAATAGAAACCCCAAGGTTAAGCCACTCCCTCAAGACTTATTACATATAGCCTTTAAAGTGGAGCTGGGGACAGAACAGAACTCCAGGGAGCTGCAGGTTGCAGAGCGTTGCTGGGGAGAAAGAAAGACATGGCAACTGATAAGAGAACACAGCTCCATCCTTCTAGGGCAGGCAAGGGTGTTCCCAGAGTGCTCTTAGATGAATCCTGGTAAAAACTGACAATTCCACCCTCCATAAAATGAATACAAAATCTTTCCGTGAGGTAGCTCCTTGCATTAGGCAAGGGGGCAGAGAACTAGCCGGGAAGCAATACACGACTGAAGAGTATCCCAAGCAGTGTGGAATTAGAGAGCTGGTGAGGGGGAGAACTGAGGTCCTACTTGGCCCCAGATTCCCCAAGGTAAAGCCGCTCCTCTCTCCCTCACCATTGTGCACTTTCCCTGAAGCACTGGACTGCTCTACATGCCAATCTCCGGGGCACAGAGCTCCAGGAACCCTGTCCTACCCTTCTGTGCCTGCTCCTCCTCGGGCCCTGTGCCCAGCAGTTGTGGTCACTTACACACTGGAGGACGGTGGTGTTATTTGAAAGTGATGTGACTACCCCCTACCGACTCGAAGCACCAGCAAGGGAAGGCTTTTCTTTAGATGTGTACTGCCAGATACGCAGCTGTTTCTAGTTGGTGTGCCCTGGTTTCAGCGGTGGTGGACGTCCAACACATTCAAATGATTCTTTGCAAACACATCCATTGTCAAGGCTTCCGTTTGTGTCACTCAGATGAGTAATGTCTGCTGGAAATGATTGATTCCCCAAGGTGAACGGCTGAGCCGGACACGCTCCTAATGAAAACTCACGCAGGCGGTGCTCCTTTGATCCCTGCCTCTTCCCTCCCTCGCTTGTGACTGGATGAGGGAGGGAATGAGGCAGCGAATGTCACAGAACCTCCGGTAGCTGGACCAACCTTTGATTTCCGTGGGGTTTATTTCTGCTCTTGCTGGGAGAGGGAAAGACCAAAGGTACCAATTGGCAGAAAGGCTGCGCAACCAGTCCCCTCATCCAGTTGCGCACAGGCACAGGAGCGCATTCAGGTGGCTCCCAGTGCCAACAGTCTCGCCTTCGTGGGACCAGGAGGACTGCATTGAGAGCAATACCCCGGTTCCAGCAAGGAGGTGGGGTGCCACCCATCCGGGTGAGGGCGCCCAGGCTTATAGAGCAAGCTGTGATTTTTCAGATCGGACCCAGGAGGCAAAGAGGGGACACAGCTGAGTCCTCACTGTCCCTCCCGCGCAGCAGAAACTCTGCCCAGGACTGGGAACCCCCAGCGAGGTTTGCCCTGCAGAGGACCTGGGAGAAGGCAGAGGGGAGCCACGGCGAGTCAGCGCCAGCGCGTCAGGGAGGTGGCTGTTAGTGTGGAAAGCTCGGCACTTTCTCCACTACTGAAGGTGTGCAGCACAGAGCTCTGGGAGCTCGGCTGGAAGAAGAGGCTCAGAGCAACAGGTGCGACCCCAAGGCACTGCGGGAGCCAGAGGATACGGCCAGCAAGGGATTAGAACCTATTGGTAAGGCTCAGAAGATTCTCCACCTGCAAATCGTGAGTCCCACCCGCCCAGCTTGTAGACTGCCAGCGATCGGAGTCGCCCAGACCGGTACCTCTTGTGTTCTGGAGCCCATCGCCCGCCCCTGCATGGGAAGGCTCGACTCCGGACTTGCAGCACCGCCCACTCTTTAGCCAGGCCCGGCGTAGAGGACAGTTTGACCAGGCACTACCGGACGCTGCCCCGTGCTCTCCTGCCGGCTGAGGGAGGTTCTGGCTGGAGACACCCGCTCTCCTTGCCCTGTGCTGGGCCAGCTGGCGATCATTGGCTGCCACCAGAGCCCGCTTTCCCCTCCTGGCACACCTTCCCAGCGCGCTCCGTTGCACAGACACGGAGGGGTGTCCCGTAAGTGATGGAATTGGCTACCTTGAACCTCAGCGCGGGGAACGGGAGCGATCCAGAGCCTCCGGCTGAGGAGTCCAGGCCGCTGTTTGGCATCGGTGTGGAGAACTTCATCACGTTGGTGGTGTTTGGCCTGATTTTCGCGATGGGCGTGCTGGGCAACAGCTTGGTGATCACTGTGCTGGCGCGCAGCAAACCTGGCAAGCCGCGCAGCACCACCAACCTGTTCATTCTCAACCTGAGCATCGCAGACCTGGCCTACCTGCTCTTTTGCATCCCCTTCCAGGCCACCGTGTACGCACTGCCCACCTGGGTGCTGGGCGCCTTCATCTGCAAGTTTATACACTACTTCTTCACCGTCTCCATGCTCGTGAGCATCTTCACCTTGGCCGCAATGTCTGTGGACCGCTACGTGGCCATTGTGCACTCGCGGCGCTCCTCCTCTCTCAGGGTGTCCCGCAATGCGCTGCTGGGCGTGGGCTTCATCTGGGCGCTGTCCATTGCCATGGCCTCGCCAGTGGCCTACCACCAGCGCCTCTACCATCGGGACAGCAACCAAACCTTCTGCTGGGAGCTTTGGCCCAACCAGCTCCACAAGAAGGCTTATGTGGTGTGCACTTTCGTCTTTGGCTACCTTCTGCCTTTACTGCTGATCTGCTTTTGCTATGCCAAGGTGAGTGGGAAGCACCGTCTGGGCGGCTCTCACGCAGCTCTTCTGGTCCCTTGACTGAGCTAGCTTCTCTACTCTCTTTCCCTTTCCACTCTACTTTGTTTCAGCTTGCTCCCACATGATTTGTGGCTCAAGAAAGTTAACTTCGAGTTTGAGAGGTAATGGGGAGAGTTTGTGGTTCCTGTCTAGAAGTTGGGTAGAGACATTTCCCTCCCTCTTTTTCTTCAAGGGCGCTGCAGCTCTGACTCCGAACGCCTGACAGAGCATAGAGAGGCTGTAGTTATGTGTCCAGGATCTGCTCAAAAGGCTAACCCCACCTCAGTTTCAGCGGGTTTTAAACAAGATTGGAGGACTCCCAGAAACTAATCCAACGGGACAAAGGGGGCTGCAGAGAGCCTGTGCTTCCTCCATGAGCCAGCAGGGGCTCTAGTTGCCCCTCTTAGTTCTTTGCTGAGACCTGCTGATAAGGCCCTTGGAACAGTAATCGTCCCACTTAGTTCCTTGGCTCTTACACCTCAGTAAATTTTCAGAGTCCAGGCTCTGTAAGACTCTGCTCAGCATGCCAGGGTTTTGGATTTTAGCTTAGCGTTCTAAATTCCAAGCAGGAGGCCCTACTTCTCCAAAGAGACTTGACTGAAGTCCTCAGGGGACCGTGGGTGGAAGGACAGGTGCTGTCTCCAGGCAAGGGTGTATGGGCAGTGTTAGGGATTCAGGTGGTGAGCTCACTCTGGAGAGGGACGGCTAGAACACACAGCTGGGGGAGCTGCGTGCTTATCTTGTCTTGATGTACTTGGAAGGACCTGTGGCTCACAACTCCTAAGGAATTATAGAGCAATGGGCATTTATGTTAATCAAAAGTCTTAGACTGTTTAGGTACTGCTTGATGTTCCATTAATCCAGAGTGTATTTTTAGGAGTCACCTGATGTGGCTCTCGGGGTTGTCTCAGTGTCACGTTTCCTTTTAGGGTACTGTCAGAACCAGGAAGGGAAAAAATCCCTCAGGGTAAGTTCTAAAGTTTCCATGCAACTTTATCCTTCCCTGACTCCCAGTCTTTCGGGCTGTGACAGTAGGACCATACATAACATAACCTGTCTAGAAAAGCATTAGTTTCTTGCATTCCACTCATAAGATGAATCTCCCCTAGAAAGAAAAACACATTTAAAAGAAGCCATATTCCCCACATCTATATGAGTGGCGAGTCTTTTGAAGGGCTGTATTACCCAAATGAGTGCACTGTCTCCAAAGCTGTTACTCCAGCCTAGCTATTGGAAAGTAGTGGATTATTCATTTGGTCTTTTCAAATGAAAAGCAAAGGCTGCTCTGCACAGTGAGCTGTGTGGGGTGTGAATACACACCCACTAGCTTGTCCTGTGAGCCTCTGTGTGGGACTGTCACCTCTATTTTATTAACAAGAAAGGGGACTTTCAGAGGGAGGCAGCAACTGACCAGACAGTAGACTGGTAAATGATTGAGGAAGGTTTCAGGAGGTGACAAGTAATTGGTCTCTGGAGGACAAGGGGCTGGGAACTAGAGCCCTACCGAAAATATTGGTCTCTGAAATTCCTAGTTGCTTCTTGAAAATGAAACATGTGCTTCCTTCATTTTTCCCTAAAGTCCCTAAGGGGGCAGAAATCATTTCAACCTTTGTGGAAATGAAAAAATGAGCTTTTAGAACTAAACAGGCTATCAGTAAAGAGTTTACCAAAGTCCTACAGAAGACAAAGTTTAAGAATTAATTAATAGATGATCATTTGAATCTTTTTCATCCAGAAAAAGTTGGCTTCTCAGCAAGTATTCTAGCTAGAAACATCTTTTGAGGGAATGTTAATACTTGCAAATTTATCCCAGGCCCCAGACAACAGGAGATAACTCACCGGGCATTGCTGTTCTGTGTCTAGCACTAAGTATGAGCCTTCTGGCTGATGACCCTGGGACTTCAGTGCTAGATTCAGAACTGGCTGTGTATGGTCAAGGACTGGGGCTGATGGCCAACGAAAGGAACCACAGATGGCCAAAATCGCACTTGAAATTACCAAGTGTTTTGGTTTTTTCTTTTTTAAAATCAATGAATGAGTTGCATCCCAGAGATAATCTTTCCATCCATGTTTAGCAAGACAGTTCTTTGCATCTGAAAGACTCTGGAGCAGCCCCGTGTTCCTGAAGATGGTTTCTCTCTGCACTGCAGGGCTCCTGCCTGCCACTCTCTTCCCTCAGCGTGCACTCTGCTTACAACCCTCCTAGGCCCGACGTGAGGACACACCCCTGGTATGCTCACTGTCTCAAGGAAGATGAAACCATAATGGATCCCAGCGTCTATATTCTCTTCCTCAATGGCAGGACCTTAAGATCTGTCACAGTGCGCCCTTTTGTGCTCATAACTTGAGGTGTAGAAGAGAAGCGGAGCTAAGAAAAATATATCTAGAATCATCTCTGTAGACTCTTTAGCAAATTCAGTATTCTTCAGTGCTGCAAAATTGACGAGCTGGGACCCAATTTAGTTAGCCTGACTGTGTAAACCCGAGTAACATCAAGAAGCAGGCTACTAATGCTCCTGTCATGATTTTTTTTGTGTGGGGGGGCATCTCCTGTATCCCTTTCCCACCCTCTGTGATCCCTAGTGATGTGCGGTCTTAAACAACTTCCATTAGGAATTCACCATCCTGGTGATGTATGACTACCTTGCGGTTTTTGCACTTAGCATGTCTGTCGGAGAGATAAGCTAGCTTTAATAAGTTTGCAAATATTAACATCTTTGCAAAAGATGTTTCCAGCTAGAGTAGTTGCTTAGAAGCCATTCTGTTCTCTTCTCATGTCTGGGAGGACGAATGTGAATATTGTCGCTGTTGTTATATATGGGAATTTACAAACTTGCCAGCTGCTGCCAGCTAGCGCCCTAGTCCTGACTCCAACAGCGGCCTCCTGCCTCCAGCCCTCACCTTCCTCATACAAGTTTTTCTCACTGCGGCCATTGCAAACTTCTCACTCACTGCCTTCTACATATTTTCTGTGGGCAGAATAGAGCTACTTCACCGTCAGTGTCTCGGCGAGCTGTTCACTTGCTCCCGTCGCCAGCAAAGACTTGTGTGGCTGAGAGACACTGAGGTTTTTTTCAGCAGTGAGAAGTGTCTCTGTAGGGCAGGAAGACAGAGATTCGCACCCGGAGACAGCTGCTAGGTTGCCTGCTCTGGCTGCTACGGTAGGGGAGGCTGGTAAATGAATCCTGAGGTTTCTCAATTAGGACGTGACGGATGGTGCTACTTCCAGCGGATTGGAGCAGGCTTCAGCTGGAAGGCCAATTCAATTAAATTATTTCCATGCTGCGGTGTTGGAGGGGAATATTCAAGTGGCTGGAACATGCCTCTGTGTCCTGAGAGCCTCTTCAGAAATCCGCAGTCCATTTTAAGCACTTTGCCATTTATTTCAGGGTCTCCATTGGAACAGAGAAAACAAACCTGGGAGCAGCTCTGCAGGGTAGGCACCATGGAGCAAGTGGAGCAAGTTCAGATTGTGAATTTCTACAAATAATAGCAATAACAATATTCAAATCATATCTCCCAAATACGACAGTAGCAAGAGAACAGGATGGCTTCTCAATGTATTAAAGCTATTTTATCTCCTGGACACGTATGGTTAGAGCAAAACCTGCAGCCACCGATGATGCCGAATTCTTAAAAGGGAATGTCTGAAGCCCACACAGTGTTTGAATTAAACGAGAAGGGAGCGCTGCTGGCTTGCTCTTAGCTCTGAGAGATTTGTAATGGGTGGGGTCTATAGCAATCACAGTAACTAGTGCGGGTCTGGGGCGCCACACCAAGCAAATGTCAGGTTGTGTTCTCCTCCTTGTTCACTTGGCTTTCTCCACTGGATCATGAACTCCCACAGCCTGGGTCTCTAGTTTCCAGTGTGTCTCTGCACTGACGTCGCATCCCATGTATAGTAGGACCTGGTGCTTTTAGGCAGGAAGAATCAAAGCAAGTAGAGCAGCGGATTGCTTGAGTAAGCTCCACCCCCACCCAGGTGAGGGTCTTTCTCCAAGAAACTCTGAACATGTTAGCATTCTCTGCGATTCTGTTCTATCCATGTCTGGGTGTGGTCTCTCTTCCAGGGACACCTCTGAACATACTCAGGGGCTTTGATTCAGGGCTGTTTTGATCTAAGATGCATTTCTATTCTTAATGCTTCATAAACAATAGTATTATCAAAGCAGAATGGTCAGTGGTTGCCACTGAAAAGGAGACAATGTGTAAGAAAGCATGAAGTAAACTGTTTTAATCTGTCTGCATTTTGCAGGTCCTTAATCATCTGCATAAAAAGTTGAAGAACATGTCGAAAAAGTCAGAAGCATCCAAGAAAAAGGTAATATTCACAAACAGATGCTGTGTCTGTCGATTTCAGAGAGCTCAGCTTGTTTTTGTTTTAAATTAAGCTCACCTCAGTTCACAGGTGGAAAGCCAGCTATCTGAGATGAACACTTTTGTGAGCCGTAATGGTTCAGGGTTTGGGCGGAGCAGAAGTTAGGCAAGGGAGATGTGCGGCCACTGAACACCGTTCAGCTGCATTGGGCAGGGTGGGGAGGCCAGGAAAGACAGACTTCCAGAGGTGAGCACAGAAAGGGCTTAGAGGGGCTCATGATGTAATTCGCATGTTTAGCATCCGACATCTTAGGAGTGATTCAAAACTATCAATTGGGTTCTCATCTGTGAGAGCATTGGTATGTTGCTCTCTTCAGGCCCAAGAAAGAGTCACCTTATCGCTTCCCTAGACTTGGGCTGATTTTGGTACAGAAGGGACAGGAAGAAAAATTGCTGGGCTCCTACCCCTCCTTAACTATATTTCTCATCTAGGGAATCCCACTTAATGCTGTCTTCTGAGTCATGAGAGAGCTTCTAACTTCCTGGGATTCAGTGTATTTCTGTTCATTGAGGAAACGCTGTTTTACACGCTAGGATTAATTTATCTTTTACTCAATGAAACCCATGTGATTTCTAGGTTTAGGCAGCGGAATGAAATTATTAGACAATATAATTAGAGGGAACATAACCAGACATTTTAGCCCACACATGTTACCAATAATATCCTAAAATACCTTGTTTTTCGTTCTAAATACTCACTCTAATCAATTATATATATTATGTAAATAATCATTCAGATAATCCTATTTGCTCTGAAAGTTTTGACTTAAGAACAACCTGCTCTGACTTCCCTGTTTATCCTCATCAGTGTGGAGAGGTTGCACTCCCCTAAGGCAACCCTACGAGTTTATAGACGGAGACTACTTGCCAAGCAGCTCTAGTTTTCCTGTAGAACAGCTGTTTTTGACCTTGCAGTGATCCTCCTGCTTCTGCCTCCCAAAGAGACTCTTTTTCTCTTGCATTTGGGATACCATCACACGCACACACGCACACACACACACACATGCATACGCACACGCACATGCATACGCGCGCGCGCACACACACACATTTACCAGCTGCCTAAATGACTGCCTCAGCCTTCTGCCCCAGCCCTCCCTTCCCTCCCAGCAGTTATTAGGTGGGTTTAGTTTTAAGCTTGCAGATCTTTCTTTATAACAGTAGATGAAGTATGATTTCTATGACAGGAGTCAGCCCTGAATAACGCGGTCTCCTCCTCTGCTCCCAGTTCTGTGTTTTAACAGTTCCCACATGCTCTTAATCTATTGGTTTCTCCTTTAAGCACCACTTCTCACCTCCAGGAAAATGAGTTCTTAAGAACAATTAAGGACTTGGTGTAATTTCTCCGGGGAAGGCTCTTCATAGAGTGTAGGCACTGTGTGGGAACAAGACAACCTCTGGTTTCTAAAAGGAATTAGCTCCCTTTGGGGGGTCAGCATCAAGAGAAAAACAAGGTTGTCCAAAGATGTTCAGTAGGATGAGTGTTTGGAGAGTAAGAAACTTCAGGAGAGATAGCTCAGTTGATAAGATGCGTGACATACATGTAAGCAGGAGAAACCGAGTTTGATCTCCAGAATCCACATTTAAAAAGGAAAGGAAGAGGGCTGGAGAGATGGCTCAGTGGTTAAGAGCACTCTAGCTGTTCTTTCAGAGGTCCTGAGTTCAACTCTCAGCAACCACATGGTGACTCACAACCATTTATAGTGGGATCTGATGCCCTCTTCTGGCATATAGTCATATATGCAGATAGAGCAGTCATACACATAAATAAATAATCTTTTAAAAGAAGGAAAAAGAGGAGAAGAGAATAGAAAAAGAAAAGTTGGTGTGCCCTTGTAATCCCAGAACTGGCAAGGGAGAGACAGGCAGATCCTTGGAGGTCACTGTCTAGCAGTCCAGCCTAGTCAGAAAACTACAGGCCAGTGAGAGACCCTGCCTAAGAAAAAGCCAAGGTGGATTGTTCCTGAGGAAAGATACCCACTGTTGTCCTCTGGCTTCCACAAACACATGCTCACAGCTATGACCTACGTTTGCGCGTGCATGTTTGTGTGCAAACACACACACACACACACACACACACACACAGACAAACTAGAGAAGAGGGGGCTTATTGGGATTCAACAGGGAAGAAGATACCTACCAAATATGCAAAATAATTAGTATTCATTCGAAGGATTTAAGCCAGGTGGTGAAATCCTCTAATCTCAGCTACTTGGAGAGCTGACACAGGAGGATACTAAATCTGGAGTTCAAGGCAAATCTGAGTCAATTAACATGACGCAGTTTGTTTAAAAATACAAAGTAACTGGAAAAGGGCTGGGCTGCCATTTTCATTGTAGAGCTTATTCCTCAGCATGCGTGAGTCTGAGGGTTAATTCCTACTGCCACAAAACCAAAGCAAGTTTATTCTAACTAAGAGGTTGCAACGACTCTTTTTAAAAAGCATTTGCTAAATCTCATCTTTGTCTTTGAAGAGATGCTGGTAAGAAGCTGAAAAGGTCCCAGAAAGAACAATATGTTTAAAGGATGATGCAATGCCTGTAAGAGAAGATGAGGAAAACCTCACTTTTATTTTATAAGGAAGAACATAATGATTGTTTTGTGAGCATGTGCCACGTACCATGAGATTGTACATGTAAAATGAATACCTATTTATGTAAAATTTACTTCTGCTCATTCCCACTATATGAGGAAGAAAGTTCGAGCACTGGAAAGGGAGACGTTTCTCCTTTCTCAGACTCTAACCCTCACCGCCACTGAACAGGTGTCAGGGCTCCTCTGACAGATTTAATTGCCTTTTTGTTTGCACAGAACAAACACACATGACTGTGGTGTGTGTGTGTAAGAAAGAGGAGGAAAGAAGAGATGCCTGGGAGGGGGAGGAAAAGAGAGGGCAGGAGGGAAGCAAGGTGACTAGGAGAAGGGACAGAGGGGCAATAGGAGAAACCGAGATAGAAAAGAGCCTTTCCGGCCGAGAGCAGCACAGATCAGCACTCCATTACAGAAGTTCTGCTGTGGACCCTTTCCAGATCTCGGCACAGGTCTCGAGAACTCAGATGCTCAGTGCTTGCTGTATGAGGGATGGCGTGGGACTCTGATGCAGACTGATGTGATGCACGTCTCGATGGCCAAAGGCTGTGTCTCTCACCTTGTTACTATCATCAAATACCCCTAAAGAAGCCATTTATGGGAGGAAGGATTGTTTGGCTTGAGAGTTCAAGAGGGAACAGCCCGACATGGTAGAGAAGGCCTGGTGGCAGAAGCACGAGGCAACTGGTCACATGGTGTTATCGTTCAGAAATCAGAGAGAAGTATAGAAAATGGGCTGAGCTGAGAGACCTCAAGGTTGGCCCCCAGTGACCGGCTTCTTGCAGGTAGGCCCTACCTCATGGGCCAAGTCTTCAAACCTGTGAGCCTTGGTTAGAGGACACTGCACATTCCAACCACGGTAGTGGATTGATGGGAGAGCAGGCCAGTGGAGCAGAGAGTTTGGTAGTTTGCTCATTCTGACATCATTTAGTTCCGGGCCTTCTCAGTGGCTGAGCAGTTTTGTGTCCGTGTGCTGTACTCATCAGTTAATGTGACAAGAACAAAACATCCCAGTGTGCAGCTCCTAGACGGTAGACATCTGTTTCCTATAGTTCTGGAGGCTGGAGGACCAAGGTCAAGTGCTGGTAGATTGTTGACCCCAGCCTTCTCTCTGCATTCACACATGCTGGATAGAGTGGGCATCTCTCTGGGCTCTTTCATGAGGACAGTGACGCCACTCTGGAGGGCTCTTTCTTCATAGCCTCATCCTCCCTCAATGGCTTACCCCTAGATACTGTCATCTTGCTGATCAGATTACAACCCATGAGTATGGGGGATGTACACATTTACATCACCAGACAGAACTTTCTGCATGAAGTCTATACAGTTATGAAGGTCTAGTCCAGCCCTTTGTGATGGACACATTGTGTAGTTAGCCACATGTGGCAGGAAATGCTGGAAGAAGGTAGGATTTCTTTTCAGAAACAATTGCCATTTTAAATTATGCCTGCATGTGTATCTGTGTGGCATATGTGTGCAGTGCATTTGGAGGCCAGAAGAGGGTTTAGGCTCTCCTGGGACTGGACAGAGAGTTGTGAGCTGTCATGTAGGTACTGGAATTGATCATAGGTCCTCTGGAAGAATTGTCTGTGCTCTTAATCACTGAGCCATCTCTCCAGCCCTGCAGAAATAATTAAAAGCTTAATAACCTATTAAGGTTTTTGCTGAAGCACTGCTGGGCAGAAGATGCTTCTGGCTCGAGGCTAGCTCATCTGAGACAGGAACCTTGGGGCTGCAGGAAGGATGGTAGAATGGATGAGACAGCTCATTGGGCAGCTGCTTCTGAGGGAAAACTGGTCAAAGGCCACTGGTGCCCTATGAACTCCTGAGCTCTTCCAACAGATGCATTTTTGTGAGTATTTTCTATTTTCTGATTTGTCCAGCGAGCTTTCTGGCTGTTGCTCACACAGCTGGTACAGCTGGCATGGAGCTTTCAAGTCCTCTCTTTGTGCTCCCTTTTCCTTCCCAGCCAAATTCCGTTAGCCACACCGCAAGTGAGACTCTCTGAAGACAAGGCCGATGTCTCCAGCTGCTCGAAGAGAGCCGCTTGCTACCCAAGGGAGACTAATTTTTTTTTTTTTAGATGAGTCCAGTGTAAGGAAGAAAGAGAAGGCACACCAAAACCGGACACACTCAAGTGTCTGTACTGCTTCTCTGTCAGAGGCAGCCAGGGTTTCTGTGCTCGGAACAAATGAAAGGTGGCAGTAATGTATATGCTGAGAATCATACCAGCTTTGTAAGCGCAAATGGTTTTGCAAGAAACAGGGACACAAGGTTAGAAAGGAACTTTAAAATCTCTGTTACAGCCTAGCGCGTCCCACGCAGGGGAGTCCAGGTTACACGCTGATATTTAGAGGGATACAGCAGAGGCAGCTTCTCTCACCTTGCCAATGAGTAGAAATGCTTCTGCTATGGCAGCTGTCAGTATCAAGAGAAACCTTTTTAATTGCTTTCACTTAAGGTCCACGAGATAACCCCAGTTTTATTGCGGCTTTTATGCAGTTCATCAGGGAATCATTAAAGCTCCCGAGTTTTGCAAAGAGGCAGATTCCAAGGTAACTAATAACTATTATCCACTGAGTCAGTCAAAGTGACAGGACCCAGAATGCTCTTGGGCACACTGATCTACCACAGTCCTGAGACTTGGATTAGAACACATGGATTATTCTGAACAGATCTTTAATTTTGAGATTATGAATTGTAGGCATATTGCTTTATGAGTTACATACTTGAGGAACCATCATCCATCAAGAAGGACAGTTTCTAATCATGGCAGAATTTCAGCTGCTAAATTCCCCTCTTTTCAGATACACTAGAATTTGTTGAAAAGTGAAAAATAATGAAAGAAAAATAAAGAAGAAGCAGAAAGTAGTAGGAGAAGGAGGAGGGGAAAGAAGAGGAGGAAGAAGAGGAGGAAGAGGAAGGCAAGCAAGAAGAAGAAGAGGAAGAGGAAGAGGGGGAGGAAGAAGAAGAAGAAGAAGAAGAAGAAGAAGAAGAAGAAGAAGAAGAAGAAGAAGGAAACTGGGAAAGCCCAGGGCTTGTGTGGAAAACACAGACACAGACATGTAAGACAGTTAAGAACATCCACCCATGTGGACCTTGGTACTTAAAGAGACAGGAGAGAGTATCTTCTCTGAGACGCCCAGCTGAACCACTGTGGGACTCAGAAGCATTCTAGTAAGCTCTCATAGGAGCAGTCATAGGTAGATGATAGTTCATATGAATTTACATCTAGTATTTGTTTATAATATTTGTATCATCAATTATCAAGCACTTGCATTCAAAACCACACACACACACACACACACACACACACACACACACAGACACACACAAATGGGCTCATATGCATGTTTTCGAGAAGAGCAGAGGGCTTGCAAACATTTAGAGGTTATGATTGGACGAATCACAAATACCCAGAGAAACGGCTGCCATAAAAAATATTGCATACTCAGGGTACACAACCATTTGCATTTCAGATAAGATATGAATCTTCCCCATAAGCTGCCAATGGGTAGATCTGATCTTAGTTCTTCGTTTAGCCCATGTTCCCTAAAAGAAGGCATGGAATATCGACAGGGTGGTACTTTCATAGAGAGACGGCCGAATCATCTTAGACGGAGGAGGCTGTGTTCTCCTGTACTGTGGACATTTTTTCTAGATTGTTTGATGAACACACCAGAGAATGGCAGTTCTCACACACTAATGGGCAAGCGGATTGATAGCAAACACTTCCTTAATACGTGTGAGCTAATTACGTTTGCTCTGTGGCCCAGGCAGTAAGTGGACTTAATAGGTAAGCTTTTACTTTGTAACACCTGCCTGTGGGTTTTTAATAGCTGAGCTGGTTTAGTGCTCACATGGTCCAGGCACAATCCGGGAATCATTTTGTTGGTTAATTTTCTTTGTTCATGAGGAAATCAAGTCTTGGGGAGGTTTTGTCATCTTTCAAAGATGATGGACAGACCTGCTGTCTGGCCAGTGAGTCTTACAAAATCCATGGTGCCTCTTTAGTGAATTTAGCTTTCCTCTCCTGTACCTCACGCCTCGTAGTGTTTGCTATTCTTGACCCGAAATCCAGCAAGTCCCTGTCTCTGCCTTCTAGGTCAGATGTCTGGTCTCTCATTACCTGTTGGGTTCCAACCATCCTCCGTGATAAACGTCTACTGTTGTTATAGCTTGCTGCCAGGAAACAGTCCTGGAGGAGTTGGCACCGTGCACTCTATTTCAGACTTGACATTCTGGAGCAATAGGACATCCTGTCATGAGAAGCAGAAGAGGAAGTCCTGCCATGTATGACATCCCTGTCAGCAGTGTCCTTTACAAAAGGTCTTCTGAGGTTTGCTCTGCTTCCTAGGTTGGTGGGCAGTAGGGAGCCCTTGACCATACACACAGGGCAAGGCTCAGTCCCTATGTGTTCCCTCATGTTGAGATCACAAGCCTATGACAGCTTCCTCCATTGGGGATCATTAGAGAACATGGAGACCCTAGCCCCAAATTTCTCAGTATTTTTGAAATAGGAGCAACAAGAGAAAGGTCAAAGTTATGCTAACAAGCAAGGTTGGCTTACAGACTGCACTAAGAATAACTCTGTGGGAATGTTAGCTCTCCAGTCTCCACCCTGTCCTCAGCAAATGAGGAGACACCAACATCTCCCACATGCTTGTGTGCAGCGTTTGTCTGAGCTCCGGGCTCTCGATGGAACTTGGTGTGCACACACTGGAAGAGGCATGCTGTTCTGTTGTTTTGTTTTCATTGAATCAGGGTCTTGTGTCTGGGTCACACTGGTTCAGAGCTCTGGTTCCTCCTGCTCTGGATCTCTTGGCTGCTGGTAGAATTCTGCTAGTTGAAGTGACAGTCCTTAATCTAGATCCATTTCTAATCTCACGTTTATCACATCCTCACACACTGAATACAGGCCTAGGAGTCAGGACCCTGTAAGGTCACAGCTGGGTCCTGAGATGATGAACAGAGAGATATTATGTGAGGTCAAATTTAACACTTTTGTTTGATCCCATCGAGGTACACACGTATGCTATTGGGGTATGTTTTACAGTGCTGTGTTCTTCTGATGTAACTGGCGTGTTCAAGCAACTCCTGTTCCCTCTCCAACACTCTGCCATTGCTCCCCTCTCTTCCAGACTGCGCAGACTGTCCTGGTGGTGGTTGTGGTTTTTGGCATATCCTGGCTGCCCCATCACATCGTCCACCTCTGGGCTGAGTTCGGGGCGTTCCCGCTGACCCAAGCTTCATTCTTCTTAAGGATCACTGCCCACTGCCTGGCATACAGCAACTCTTCGGTGAACCCCATCATATATGCCTTCCTCTCAGAAAACTTCCGGAAGGCGTACAAGCAAGTGTTCAAGTGCCACATTTGCAATGAATCGGTCCCCAGCGACACTAAAGAAAACAAGAGCCGAATAGACACCCCGCCATCCACCAACTGCACCCACGTGTGAAGGCGCACTGGGACCGCCTGCCCCCCAGCTCCCATGTGGGTAGAGAGAAGAGGATGCAGTGGACAATCACAAAACATGGCAGCTCATTCTCCTGACCACAATCCATATCATTCTAAATACATTCCACAGCTGTTAAGGTACTTTGATTGTTGAGGAACTCGTGGGTCCACTGAAGTCCAATTAGCTTCATTATGAAATTGTATTTCTGAAACAAAAGAAAATTCTGTACAGCTGCTGTCTCTCAAGGAGTGAGAATTCAGTAGCATTCTACAAATAAGTTCAGATTCCACGGGACAAGGCCAGTCTGTAAAGCAGTAAAGAATATTTGAAATCTACATTTTTTTTTTTTTTGAGACAGAGTTTTGCTGTGGGATTGTCCTGGCTGTCCTGGAACTCACTTTGTAGACCAGGCTGGCCTTGGACTCACTGAGGTTCACTTGTCTCTGTCTCCCGAGTGCTGGGATTAAAGGCATGCCATAGAACTCTACATTTTAAAGTCAGTTAACTTAGGGAAAAAGTTCTTTTTTTCCCTTCAGCTTTGAGAGGAAAGGTAATAGCCTAGCCTGCGTGTTTTAAAATACAACCATGGCACAGAATTGTGGATTTTATTCCATTAAACCTTCATGGACAGGCACCTCTTCTGAGTAGGGTGGAGGAGGTGGCTTTTCATTCTGTCTTTATGGGTGGTCAGAGGTCTGTCTTGGAACGTGAGGCCCATCATGTTCATCTCAGGAGATCAGCAGTGATTCTACTTTGAAACAAGCCTGTGAACTGGAATATTTAGAGCAAACTAAGCAACGCCCAGGGATCTGCCTAGGATCAACAATCTGCAGAGGCACCAGGGGGGAGGGTCCTGGGGAAGAAGACTGTATGTTTGAGCTTTAAGCATGTTCTTGGCGATATCTATTAGCTATGCTTCCCAAGAACCTATGAAGCCAGTCATCCAGTAACTTCAGCGGGATTGAAAACTGGATAAAATTTCATTAGACCCTGGGTAATATCCATGCCATGTGGAGAAAGCAAGAGAGACATTTGACTCAGACAGGCTGAAGACAATGAAACACATGGAAGAATATGTATGCCTAGAGAAATGCTGCCTTGTATGTACATACATTTTTTATTAAACTTGTCCTAACAAAAATTTAATGCTCATTTTCCCCAAATATTATTCCCCGGGGTAATGCTACGTCAGAGTTAGAATCCTTACCACCTGACTTACTAATGTAATTTTCATGACAAGTCCATATTTCTTTATACTTGCCATAGAAAATGCGGTGAAAAGACTAAATTGTCCTATCTCAGAAGAATAATGATTTGACTTAAGACTTTGATATATTTTAGGAGGTAGGAAACAAAAGCAAGACACTTTTTTTTTTTTTAATCAAAAGGGATGTTGTGTCAGTGCCAAATCGGGACCTGCTATGAAACATGTAACTTATGTAAAAAACAAATGTAATGTGAGCTTTTGGCCTGTGAACATTTCTAGCTCACCCGTGACCATCTCCCTGCGTGCAGTGTTTACATTTGCAAAGGTCCATGGAAAAAGGAGAACCATTCAAGTCACGGGGCTATGAGTTTCCAGCGGTCACCCGGGAAGGGCGAGCATGCTGGGAGAGGCGGGTATTTTAAAGAGAACTGTAAGGTCTTTGCATGGAGTTTTGTTCATTTGGACTTCACTCAACGTTGGAGCAAACGTATTTTGTCTTGAACAAGACACCTCATGTGATTGGTGGGACCCAAAGCTGCCGGTGTAGATGTCGGCGGCACACCTTCTTCACTATTGCTGTCCGCAGAGGGGCTTCGTCAATCCTGTGTGTGTGAGAGAGATTCTCCATGCTGTAATAACTCCCTTGTTCTGCCATGGCCAGAGGTATCTTAGATGCAAATGTTTAACAACACGTGGTGAGGGCAGAGCTTGTCCAGAAGGCACGCTGGTATGAGTGTTGGCAGCTTGTGTTCACGCTCCTATATCTGTGTCCTCCCCAGAGAGCAGCATCTAAAATAAGAGCTACAGCAAGGAAGGGATAATTTGCACCCACAACCCCCCAAATTTGCTAAATATTGATTCAGACTGCCTCTGCGGTGGGAAGATGCTTCCTGTGAACTGCCGTTCTGCTAATTTTCTCTTAGCCTTGATCCGAGTGCACTTCTAAAACAGCTTAGGATCCTGACTGTAGCCTACTTCCTGCAAAGACAGGGGACTAAATGCAGTGTTCTGGAAAGTGTCTATAAGACCTGGGCCAGATCAGTCACCCAGGTGAGTATCGGGAGAGCCCATTAATGTGCCAAACTTCTAGCAGTATGGCTCTTCCTGGTAAGTGATCACCAAGATCAGTTTGGAGACATCTTCCATCCCACACTGGATGCTCATGACCTCCCTTCCATCCCTCACTGGATCACTGGATGCTCGTGACCTCCCTTCCATCCCTCACTGGATGGTTGTGACCTCCCTTCCATCCCTCACTGGATGGTTGTGACCTTCCTTCCATCCCTCACTGGATGGTCGTGACCTCCCTTCCATCCCACACTGGATGCTCGTGACCTCCCTTCCATCCCTCACTGGATGCTCGTGACCTCCCTTCCATCCCACACTGGATGCTCGTGACCTCCCTTCCATCCCTCACTGGATGCTCGTGACCTCCCTTCCATCCCACACTGGATGCTCGTGACCTCCCTTCCATTTCACATTGGATGATGATGACCTCCCTGATACAACAAACACATTTCCTGCAGCCAGGGAGAAGAGGAAATCTGCGGGTCTTTGAAGTCAGGTGACTGAAGAGCTCTGCCCACAGGAAATTGATGTTTTCTTTACAAGCTTTTAGGCTTCAGTGCTTCGACGCAGCTGTTATTTTGCAGGACCTTTCCTGAAGAGAGGGACTAGGGAATATTTAAGTAGTGGGAATGCTTGCTGCCACACACCCACACCCCCCCACACACATGCACCCCCACAATTCCAGCTTCCCACTGAGGAGTCCAGTCAGCAGCATTCCCAGGAGGTATTATAATGGACTCGTTCTATGCTATTCTGACCACATATTTATTCAGCAGTGTAAGGGACTGAGCCTCCTTTTTGAATATTTTAGACAAATTATTGTTGCTTTTGATTAAATTGTTCTATTTCCACAGTGGGAATAGAACAATTTCCTGTGCCCCTTTGTCCATCTTTTGTACTTTTATCCTTTTGTCTCAACTTCCTACCTCTCCAGAAATCCCTACTTGATGGTTTTCACAGTTAACCCACCTTCCCCGGATATGAGCGTCAGAAGAGAGAGAGAGAGAGAGCTGGCTGCTGGGTTCATGAGTCATGCAGGGCCTGGAGCTGCTTATGTTTCTGCGTCAAATCAGAATGGGGTGGGTCACTGTTCTCCCCCACCTCTCGGGTGGACAGAGGTCCAGCTGTGGTAGTCCCATCCTGCTAACTGAAGCCCCAGGTCAGGGTGCTTCCAGTAGTAGAGGGTCACCTGCCTGAGTACCTGCTTCCTTTAGTACTGGGCTACAGTTCTTGAGCTTGCCATAAAACCTCATTGCATAGTTAGAATGACGGGTGTGTGGCTGCATCATGCTCTTGGCTTTAAGGGTTTTTTTTTTCATGCATGTGTACATGTCACAAAGCACAGGAACTGGAAAAATGCACGGATGGGATTATTTCCTGGGGAAACTCAGTTGTCTATCATGTGCAGTTCTTATCAGTGTTGGTTGCAAATGTTTCCCCTGTTTTCAATTTGCAAGCAACTGTCTAGGGAAGTGAGTCAGATCCTTGGCCATTAAAGAGTTGCATGCTGGGTTTTTTGGACGATGTGTTAATAGTCTGTCTAATTAACACCTTGCTTATTATATGACCAAACACAGTAGGTGGCCCATGAGCCTCATCATTGCTGATTGGCTTGCAAGTGGTAATTGTATGTGGCTTAAATTGACACCACATTTGAATATCTTCCCTCTAAAGTGGGAAAGCTGAGCATAAAGAACTGTTTAAAAGGCTCCCCATGCGGATGTAGGCTGCTGCTGCGTGAGGCTAGCGTGTTTCAAGTCTCACAGTAGTCAAGGTGTTCTGACGTTTTCTTGTGCACATGTTGTGCCTCTGATCCTACCTGGTGGCTTCTCTTCTCAGGGTGAAAGGCTCAGACACTGCTCTGTGGGTCTGAGGCATGTCTGCATGTCTATGCCTGACGGCACGCAGAAACATTAACAGGCCTACACATTTACTCCTCGAGGGTCTTGGCGGCTGGCTGTGTCCTGTCAGTCATCTTGTTGGCCCATGAGATCCTGGACTCTTAAGAGATGTTCTGGGTACGGTGACAGCAGTATGGTTGCATGAGCGAGGGAGGAGAGGGGAAGGGAGCCATCTTTCCATCTCTCCACGCCCTGTAGAAATGACGCCATCTAGATTTTCTGAAGCTGCACAGCGCTGGCTGGGGCCAGCAGGTTGGACAGTTCACAAGAGTCCATCCTATTGATCAGGCTTATGACGTCACCTTGGCTGGCAAGCCTTATCTTTGTGCTGGAGAACAACAGACTTCAGGACACCATAAACTGTTATACGTAGCTTCAGATTCTCAGCAGTTAGAGACATCAAAGTAATGAAAAGACTTGGATGGAGTCTGGGCTCCACCATGCATGTTCTCTAGCATCTTGGAGAATGGGAGTCAGTGTGATAACCCCTAATTGACTGAGGTTTGAGTGCTGTAGGTTTCTTTGAGGTGCGGTCTATCACAGTACTGTATTTCAAAAGATTAGACACCGATTACTAAAGCTGATTTATTTATGTGGCATTAAATACCTGTGGATCTGCGAAGCTTTTCCTCCCTTAGCTTGTTTGGGTATTGAGGCTGCTCAGCCGCATGGTGACAGGGAGAGGAATGCCTGCCTGTTTCAGACTGTGGGTAGCCCTTCCACATAGATTAGTCTTGGGATGGGGGCAACCTTTCCAGGTACAGTTCCTCATGTGGTCACCTCTCACTGTGTCCTAAGAAGGAAGAGATTTGTTAGTGACTGGAATCAGTGTCAGTCCTGAGCCTTCTAGGGGCACTCAAGGAACCAGGGTCCTGGGACTGCTCAGGATCTGTGGACTACAAGTACTCAAACCTTTGCTGAACTGGTCAGGAAACTCCAGGTGGGTCTCAGGGCTTGCTTCTGAGATTTCTGCACTTCTGGAGGGGTTCTCCATGGGAGGACAGTGGGAAGGAGATTGTTGGCCAAGCAGCTTCCTCTTCCCTGTGTTGGTAGGTGACTTCTGGGAACCACTTCTCTGAAAAGAGAGCAGCAGACACAAAGTTCCGCCCCTGGGTGGATTCTGTCAGAGATATCCAGAGCTTGGTCATGCTCTCCACACTCTCATTGTTTGCTTTGGACGTAGGATGCTTCTTGACAGTCCCAATAGGAACTTTTTAAACAG